CGCACGTACCTCCTCCCAAACCTGTTTAGAAAAATCACATAAAAAGAAAATATGGTTAATTGTTTCTTGCTCCTTTCCGCAAAGGACGCACTTTCCGTCTGTCTCCAAGAACTTCAGGTTATCCAGAGTGGGTAGTCTACCCCTTAATCCCAGCCAAGTCGTGAATGCAAACTTGGGGGAATAAAACCACGCCAAATATTCTTGAAAATGAATCTCTTTTGCGCCCTTGGCCGAATGATTTCATACACATAAGAAGTTGAAAAACCTTTCGGTCCAATACATTTACTGAGTGCTGCAATACATTCCATCTGGCTTCCACATGTACCAATCAACATGTCTCTAATCCTGGCAAGGCTCCTCATTAGTGCTGAATCATTTCTTCCGGGTTTCCAAGTCCAAAACTCTTTATCCTGCAGATAGTAACTATGAATCCATTTGATCCAAAGTGAATCTTTTCTTTCATGGATGTTCCAAATCAATTTTGAGAGGACAGCTGCATTCCAAATCTTAATATTCCGTAGACCCAATCCTCCCTCCTCTTTAGGCAAACAGATATCATCCCACGCCACCATTGCCCTCTTTCCATTCCACAGAAAATTCCTACACAGAGAAATAACATGGTCCACAACCGTTGATGGTACCTGAAACTCTTGAATCCAGAAGGCAACAACTCCTTGGATAACTGAGTTTAGGAGTTCTAATCTGCCTGCATATGTGAGTGTAAAACCTTTCCATGCTGTTAAGTATTTGTTAACAGAGTCTATCAACGGGAGAAATTAGCAACCCTCAACTTCTGAGCATCAAGTGGAATTCCAAGATAACGCACCGGTAAGCTCTCAACCGGAATGCGTGTAAAAGATAGATCATCCTGCACACCCGCACAAAACATTTTAGATTTATTTGGGCTTATGGCCAGTCCTGAAGCTTTCTCCAATTCATTTAATGCCTTCATACATATGTCTACGGAACTTGCATCCCCCCTACAGAATAGCATAAGATCATCTGCAAATGCCATGTGAGACACTTTCATTTTCTTACATCTAGGGTGGTAAGAAAATTTAGCATCTCTTGTTTTCACAACCAGCATACGAGAAAAGTATTCCATGCACATAGTGAACAGCATCGGGGACATTGGGTCCCCTGTCTTAATCCTCTTTTTCCTGGAAATAACCATGCCAAGCCCCATTCACTGACAGTGAATAATTTACTGTCCTAACGCATTCCATTATCCAGGCAACAAATTTATTAGGAAATCCAAGCCCCTCCAGAACCTCCTGAAGGAACATCCAATCCACAGTGTCATAGGCCTTCCGGATATCTACCATAATTGTGCATCGAGGAGAAGTTCTTTTTCTTGAGTATCCCCTGATTATTTCCTGCGCCAACATGATATTATCTGACATACTTCGACCGCCACAAATGCTCCTTGAGCTGGATTAATAATGTGTGGTAGAATTCCTGCCATTCTAGCTGCAATTATCTTTGTAATAATTTTGTAGAACACTGAGCAGCAAGCTATGGGCCTAAAGTCCTCTACTTTAAGATCATGGACCTTTTTAGGGATCAACGCCAGACAAGTGTGATTCCACTGTTTTAACAATTGCCCTGAACTGAAAAATTCTTTAACTGCATTCGAGACCGTGGTACCAACGATATTCCAACAATTTTTGAAGAATGCAGCCGTATATCCATCCGGTCCTGGTGCCTTTTCGTCCCCAATATGAAACAGTGCCTCCTTAATTTCCTCACTTGTAACTGGTTTTGTCAAATCCTTAGCCTGTTCTGTTGTCACACACGGCCCTTGTCTAAAATACAGCTCTTTTGTCTTTTCTCTTTCCTTAACATTTCCCAGCAGCTCAGAAAAATACTTGACTAATAAAGTTCCAACCTGGTCCAATGATTTAGTAGGGATCCCATTGTTATCAAGGATGGAAGCTATCACCTTGGCCGAATTTTTCTTTTTGATCAAGTCATGAAAATATTGCGACCCCCTGTCTGATTCAAGTAAATGCTTAGTATTAAGTTTCTGGGAAAAAAAACTGTCTTTCAGCTTCCATAAGATAAAGGGCTTTTTCTCTAAGTCTTCTCACTGTTTTCTCTTTCTCCTTTCACTCGCCAACACCACATCCATTGCCTCATGTGCCACAGTGAATTCATCATTTGCTCTTTTAACCCTCTCAGAAATATGCCCAAATTCTTTTTTGTTAAGGGTTTTAAGTGGATGTTTCAAGGCTTTGAGTTTCTTAGCCAAAATGAATTGTTGCGTTCCCTCAATCCTTTCTGTCCAGATATTCTTCACCAACTCAGAGATTTTCGGGTGTTTTGTCCACATGTTCAGGAATTTGAACGGTCTGTTACCAACTTTCTTTTGAATGAATGTGCTGATCACAATTGGAGTGTGATCCGAGATGCTAACCATGCTTTTAAAGTCGGCTTGACAAGCTAAATTATTTGCAGCCACTGATCATTAATTAGGCACCTATCCAGCTTTGCTTCTTTTTGATCCGTTACTCCACGTGAAGAATTTACCATAGAGAAAGCATCAACTAGCCCCAAGCTTAAGCAACAAAATTCAAAGTCCCATAAATCATATCTGGTGGGAGTATTTCCTCCGCGGCGTTCCGACACTTCTAACACAGTATTAAAGTCCCCAGTAATCAACCAAGGTTCAGTGATATTCTGAGAATAACTATTCAAACTTTCCCATAATGGTCTACGAGCCGGTACTGTAAACAAACCATAAACAAACGTACATAAGATCCTGTTTTGTGTTATCTTACATGTGACAGAACAATGGATACTTTGAGGAGAAGTGTCCAGTATAATACAATCCACAAGTCTTTTTATCCCAAACAACACAAATTCTTCCACCACTTATGTCATGGAAATTAGTAGAGTAACCCCAACCATTCAGTTTTCCTTCAACAAATCTCTTTGCTCTTCTTTCCTTCAGTTTGGTCTCTAGTAATGCACATAGGACAAGTTTATTATTTTTGATGGAAGTCCGCAACTCCACCAAACTTGAGGGGCGGATTCATACCCCTCACATTCCAACATCCCATCAACATTTATCACCCAAGGTGGGTACTTGCCAACCACCGCCGCCAGCCAAGATATTATCCCCTTTTGGCACGGGAGAATTTTCCAAGTCTGCCGAAAAATTCAGCATTAAATTTTTCCTTCTCTTTACCTCTTTTCTTCTTTCTCTTATTCATGTTACTCTTGCCTTGGTTAGTCTGCTGCAAAGCCTTACTGTCCATCCTATCCTCTAAGGCAGATTGATTTTCTTTTTGCACCTCACAAGCTTCCTTATTTCTTGCTTCATTTTTCAGAATTCTCTGCTGCATACCCTTCATCAGTTTCATTATGATGGTCCCCACTTTGTTTGTAATATCCACATCAGACTGGTCACCCAATTGCATGGCCAGAATGAGCGTTATTTTCCTCTTGTATTTCCTTCGATTGCATGCTTTCTTGCGTACCAAATGGCTCATGTATACCTTCAGCATTAACATTTTCCTTCTCTTTTCCTCTTTTCTTCTTTCTCTTTTTCAAGTTACTCTTGCCTTGGGTTAGTCTGCTGCAAAGCCGTACTGTCCAACCATCCTCTAAGGCCAGTTTTGATTGTCTTTTTGCACCTCACAAGCTTTCTTATTTCTTGTTTCATTTTCATCAGAATTCTCTGCTGCATACCCTTCATCAGCTTCGTTCATGATGGCCCCACCTTTGTTAGTAAAATCCACATCAGACTGGTCAACCAATTGCATGGCAGAATGAGCATTATTTTCCTCTTGAATTTCCTTCGGTTGCATGCTTTCTTGCGTACCAAAAGGCTCATGTATACCTTCTTCCAAAACCAAGACCAGTGGGGTTCATTGGAGGTAAAGCAAAGTCAACTATTGTGGGGGCCAATTGTGGACCATTAACACCATTCTCATCAGCACCAACATTTAGAGAAGGCACCCCTTCACCATTGGTATTTAAATCCCCTTCTATAAAGTTCTTTTCAGCTTGATTTACCACATTGTCTTCCACTATCCCTTCTCAGATACATTATTGACCATATTTAGCTGCTTTTCAGCCCCCTATTCCTTAGATTATTCTCCACATTTGTCAAGGGGCATTTGTCAGTGACATGTCTTTCACCTCCACAACGTGTACAGAATGGTGGAAGATACTCAAAGGTAATATGCTGGTTCCATATCTCCCCATTCAGAAATTTAAAAGAGACTGTTTCTTTTGGAATCACCGAGCAATCCATTTCAACAAGGATCCTTGCAAAATCTCTTTCTGTTTGCTCTAAGGTAAGTTTATCCATGAATAGAGGTTTTCCAAGTTTGGAGGCTATGCGGCTCAAAGCTTTTGGATGCCAGCACTGTTTTGGTAGCATAGGTAATCTGATCAAACTGGTAGAGTACGGTAATCTTCAGTTCTTAGAACAAACTTTTCTTCCCAGATTCTTCAGAAAAACTCTTTTCCCATAGAGAAGATAGGGCCCCCTGAGATCACACTCTCAATATCTTCTCCTTCTTGAACCAGAAAAAAACATGATCGTTTAGGGCATATTCCGTTTTGCATTCCACCTTCCAGCTTGTTGTAAGTTCATGGATAGGCTCTCATGCGGGAAACCGGCCTGCAAATTTTCCCAACAAGCAATAAGTTTTAACTTCTTCAATTTCCAATACCTCATCTCTCTCAAGTTGGAATATTTCTTCCTCAGATTCCAATAAATTCCAGTCTGCATTCTTCACTTTCCATCACCTTTCCAGAGACCAACTTTTCTTGGTACATTCATTCTATTGTTATTATGTGGGTTCTGCCTCCTATTCACGTTTTGTTTAGGAACCCATTGCATTTTCCTTTGTGCCAAACACTTCATCTTTATCCGCCCCATTATCCATTGAGTAAAGTGTCTGTCGAACCTAGCGTACGGGATGCCGATGAGTCAACAGAGTTCCCGACTGTAGGTTGACCATTCAAGTTCACCGGAGCAACTGAAGCCCCAGCATTGTCTCCACCAGAGAAACCAATGTTTTCCCTCGGAACAAACGGCTCTCATAATTCGATGAGATCCCTGAGCGTTCCCAGCTATCGTTTGCACATTCTCTGTTCCGGCAACCATTCCCACCGGAGAGATTAAAACCACAGTCCTCTGGCCAGACGAATTCAAACCAAAGCTCTGAACCCCGTTCGTACTTCTATTCACCCGCCCATAGTTATCGGAAGTATTACCACTCACCGGAAGCAGTCCCGACAACTGACGGCCAACAGAGTTAATCTGAGGTTCCATAGTACCTATTCAAGCAATTAAATAATCCACCGGTCTCCACACTCGAGTTATCGGCCATGGCACAATAAACTAACCGGTCTCCACAGGCGAGTTATCCGGTCAAATCACAAATTAACAAACAAGACGAATAATACCGGTCTCCACACACGAGTTATCCGGCGACACTACAAGCTATACCGGTCTCCACAGGCGAGTTAGCCGGTCAACGAGATGCTGGTTAACGGAAACTTACCCCACAGGCGTCGAACGTCTACTTTAAAAATCCCCAAACGCGCGACCGTACAGCTTCCAGTCCACCGTAGAAGCAGTTGCCGGCAATCGGAGCAGATCGATATTCGGGGTCGACTCTGTCCAGATAACAGCCAGAGAACTTCCCACGAGCTCAAAACCAAGTTCGCAACTCAAGAGGAGTCGCCGGAGTACAAGAAACCACCGTGACCGTCGGACTTCCAGCAGTCAACTCCCACAAACACTCCGGTGAGAGAGACCGGAAACTTCCCCCACAGTTCTCTTGACACTGGGAATGGAGATACGTGAGTAATCCGGCCGGCGGAGACCAAGAACACCGCCGGCGTACGGAGAAAGCTTCGTCCCAGATAAACGTAACTTTATATTCGAAATGGGACAATAACTTTGAAAAATATTATTTTAATAACAACTTGTCTTCTTCTACAATGATATGTGACCGATTCCACGGTTATTAGAAGAATTTCAAACCAAAATAT